GCTGAGCGAGTTCGGCCCTTTTGATTTTCTGACTCTAGCTCCTCGCACATTTCATTGTAGTATTTTGCTTTGTCATTCTGAGCTGCCTAGAGTAAGTAAATTGCTACCTTCATTCACTCTCTCTCTCTATTCCGTTTCTCTGATTTATTTACTTCATAGTTATTATTACTATTCAATGAAACAGTTATTCTACTGTCTGCCTACATCTACTAGAAGGTAAGGTTTGTAAACACTATACCATACATAGAATGATGCATGGTAAACATTCAGCATTTACTTGTTAGATGAATGAATGAAAAAATTGTCACAACATCCACCCAACTGCCTAGCCAGAAATCTTATAGTTTTCCCTCTCCATCTGTCTCTTCAAATGATGTATTATTATTGTTGTTGTGATGTGCCATCAAGTCACCTCTGACTCATAGCGATCCAAGGTACAGCATCTCTAAAGCCATCCCTATTCTGAGCTAGTCTCATTGCTTCTGATGCACCTACCAATATTACCCCAGTTACTGTGTCTCTCTCATCCAGGGTCTTCCTTTCCTACCCTATTCCTCCACCCTTCTGAGCTTGATATCCTTCTTTAAGGACTGGACCCTCCTGGTCACATGCCCAAAGCATGTGAGATAGAGCTTCAGAACTTGAAGAAACTTGGTTTCACTGTCTCCAAGCCAGACCTGTTTGTTCTCTTGGTGGTCCATGGTGTGTTTAATCTTCTTCTCCAGAACTACAACTTAAAGACACAACTTCTGTCATCCTTAGTCATTTTCCAGCTCTCTGATGCATAGTAAGTAATTGTGAAGACCATGACCTGGATCATGTGCACCTTAGTCTCTAGGCTGACATTGTTGCTTCTCAGTACTCTGAAAAGGTCCCTGACAACTGATTTTCCCAGTGTAATTCATCTTCTGATTTCCTGACTGCTGGTGCCAGGAGTATTGATTGTGGAGCTGAACAAGCTGTAAGTGTTAACAACCCTAATCTCTTTTCCATCTATCATGGTGCTGCCCATGTGGTGAGAATCTTTGTCATCTTGATGTTGAACTTCAATTCATATTGAAGACTATAGTCCTTGACTGTCTGTAGCAAGCACTTCAAGTCCTTTTATAGCAAGCAAGGTTATATCATCTGCATATCACAAGTTGTTGATGAGTCTTCCTCCAGTCCTGAAGACACATTCCTTCTGTAAAGGCCAGGCTCTCAGTGATCTGTTCTGCATATAAATTGAAAAAGTATGGATACAGGATTAATCTGTGACATATTCCTTTCCTGATTTAGAATCGTGAAGTGTTTCCTTGCTCTATTCTGAGGACTGCTTCCTGGTCCAAGTATAGATTTCTCATGAGTACAATCAAGTGTTCTGGGATACCCATTCTTCTAAAGGTTAGCCACAATTTGTTGTGACTCACACATTCAAATGCCTTTGCATAGTCAATGAAGCACAGATAGCCAATCCTTTGGTTGTTAGTATTGTTCTTATTGTTGTTGATTGCCTTCAAATAGAGCACGACTCATAGCGACCCTATGAATAAAAGGCCTAAAGCTCCTCTACAGCTGTCAACATTTATTAAGGTTAATAGAATTTCCAGAGGCATGTTGTTTAGGAAGTGAATCACATAGGTGCCATCAAATCCTTTCTGATTGGGTAATAACCTTAAGTACAACAGAGGGATTCATGGTCTAGTCCTGCACTAACCTCACAAACATTGCTATGTTTTAACTCATTATTGCACCTATTATGTCAATGCATTTTACTAAAGATCTCCCTCTTTTTCACTGAGCCTCTACTTTACTTTATACATAATATTCTTCTTTAGGGACTAATCCCTGCTGATGAATCTTGACTGAAAGCAGAGAATAGCAGAAATATTTTTACCTGGCTTTTACTTTGCATGGGCAAAAAACAGTTGACTAAGAGAATAATACATCATTAAATCTTGTCAATTCACCTCCATAATCGTCTATCAAGTCCATTTGTTTTCCATTCCTGTTGCCATTATTCTACTTCAAGTCATCTCTCTCTCTCTCTGTCACTGCAGCCACCTCTGTATGTGCCCTAAAGCCTCTAATCTGATTCTTTATCTTCATCCCACTCTGAACCTTGAATCTCTTCCTCATACTGCAGTCAGAGAGACCTTTTGAAACCACAGATCTGATCTCATCTCAACACTTTCATGTTTAAAAGATTAAAGTAGATTTCACCTCTTGGAATTAAGTCAGAATTTCATTTCATGATTTACAAGGTCTGAATCTTTCAGGCACGTCTTTTGCTATTCCTCTTCATTATGGATGTGTCTTGAGGATCACATTTTTCTCTTGCTCTAAACCTTTACACATGCTAATTGTTCTCATTAAAATATTCTGTCCTCTCTCTGAATCCCACCCTTGATTCCATGGGCTGCATGTTCAAGTCAGCTTGTTATTGTTATTATGTGCCATGTGCTTGTCCTGAGCCAGTCTCATTGTCTCTGACACACCTACCTCCATTACTGCAGTTACTAATCCAGGATCTTCCTCTCCTGTGTTGTCACTCCACCCTTTCAACCATTATGATCTTCTCCAAGAACTGGTCCATCCTGGAAACATGACCAAAGTACGTGAGGTGGGCTTCAAAATCCTTGCCTGGTTTCACCCTCTCAGTGACAGACTCCTTTGATACCACTTTGTCAGGCAGGCTTTCCCAAATCCCCAATCTACACTATACTCCCATCAGCCCCAATACGTATTATTACCATTTTTGCTGTTGTTCTTATGTGCCCTTGAGTTGACCATAACTCATACCGACCCTATAAACAGATGTGAAGTTTGCCCTATGATCTCTGATATACCTGAGCTCATTGATAAAGCCATCTTGATGGGGGGTGTTCCTCTCCTTCTCTGGCCCTTTACCTTTCCAAACATGATGTCTTATTCAAGGACTTGCTTCTCTTAACAACAGGCCCTAAGTAAGTGAGACACAGTTTCACCCCTTGCCTTTTTTTTAATATATGTTTATTTTTTAATTTTTTAAAATGATTTAGTTTGTTTATTTTTCATTTCAATGAACATCTACAGAGATTTTGGAATTCCATTCATTCATTGTTGCACCCTTCTCCCCGCACACCCCCCCACTCCCTCCCCCCGTTTGCTCCTCTCCTTGAAAAGCAAAAGAAAAACTCCCTCATTGGTACACAATCCCCCCCCCCCCCCCCCCCAATCCCACCCCCAACCCCAAATATAATCCACTCTGCAACCCTCATTGCGTACTCCTACGATAAAAATAATGCCCTAAAATATAATACTTTTAGACTATTCTCTCCCCCATAGACTTCAATGCCGTAAACATATTTCATCCAGTTTTTCTCAGCCTTACCCCCACCCCGATGCCAGCCTCATTCTACAACAGTGGCACCATATAGCATTTGTCCCTTTGTGACTGAGATACCTCACTCAGCATAATGTCCTCCAGGGTCACCCATTTTGAATAATATTGCATGAGTTCCTTGTTTTTCAATGCAGCATAGTATTCCATTGTGCAAATATACCACAGCTTCTCTATCCATTCATTTGTTGATGGGCATTTAGGTTGTTTCCAACTCCTTGCTATTGTAAACAAAGCTGCAATAAACATGGGTATACATATATCTACTTGGATGTCATTTATGGTCTCTTTAGGGTATATTCCCAGTAGTGGAATTGCTGGGTCAAACGGTATCTTTATTTGCAACTTTTTGAGAAAGTGCCACAATGCTTTCCACAGTGGTTGCACCATTTTACACTCCCACCAACAGTGAATAAGGGTTCTAGTCTCTCCACAACCTCGCCAGCATTTGTTGCTTGCTGTTCTGTTAAATTTTGCTAGTCTTACTGGAGTGAGATGATATCTCATGGTTGTCTTGATTTGCATCTCTCTAGAGGAGCTAGGGATTTTGAATATGTAAATGAGATTCTGTTGTAATGATCTGGTTTCTTTTGTGTGTTCTTTACAAAATTGAAAACTTGACAAAGTTATCTTTATCTCCGTTTTTCAAAATGTATCATGCTAGCATACAGTAGGTGTTTAATAAATATATCTTCTTGATGTTGTGAAGAACCATCAAGTCAGAACAGATCTATAGCTGACCCTCCAGGGGGTTATCAGAGGCTGTTAATTGCGCTGGAGGAGATTGACATTTTTCTCACAAGAAGCAGCTGGTGCATTTAAACCACATTCCTCTGGATTGTCGTGCAGTTTCTTACCCCTAGGTCACCAGAGATGAATGGATGAAGAGTTGAATATTTTGTGCACCATTAGCTTTTTAAAAAAATAAATATATGTGTTGTGTGTGTGTGGTGTGTGTACCTGTTGTTTTATCAGCAATATCTGTATTTATTAACAGGGTGCTGGAACTGATGAATTTACTCTGAACAGAATAATGGTTTCCAGATCAGAAAGTGACCTTCTGGACATTAGAGCAGAGTTCAAAAAGCTTTATGGCTATTCCCTATATTCAGCAATAAAGGTAAGTTTCCTTTTAAAAATAACAAAATATATTTTCCCCTTCCCTGCTTTCTCCTTTACAAAACATAGACTTAGATTTTTGTCCTCTTTGTTAATATGCAAATGTGTTTTCTGAGTTTAAAATAGTAACAGCAAAATATTCCTTGAAGACAGTGATAATTTTTCAGCTCTAAAATTTCAGGCACAAAATACATACTTAACATTTTTTTTGGTTAGGTTTATTACCATTAATTTTTATTCTGTTGTGAATTGTATATACAACATTTTTTAGTTGTATTTTTGTACAGTATTTTTATTTCAGTGTTTCTTCTTCACAGTGTAAGAAAAGAAAATTAAGCATTTTTAATCTTTTTTCTTTTCTATTAAGAATTCTATTTCTTGATATTCCTTCTTCACTTCCTCTTTTATATAAAAAACTAAAATGGTTCCACAGCTTGAAATTCTTTTTATTTCATAACATAAGAAGCTTTCGTATCCTTTTTTAACAACTGCATATCCTTTATTTGTATATTCATAGCCAGCCTTGTTAACAGATTGTTTTTCATTTCTTCCTGTTGCAAACAGTTCTACAATATAAATATGCAATTTTATAGGCACATGTGTATCAGAAAGTTAAATTATCAAAAGTAGGGTTGTTGATACAGATGTAAATGCACTTGTAATTTTGATCACTGTGACCAGTATTTTAAATACCCATGTGCAGCATTGAGTGCCTACGCTATTTATTTAGTGCTCAGGGTAGTCTCAAGCTCAGATGTTTGTAATCTGATAGGAAAGCATTGGATCTTAGTATAGTTTTTATTGTTGTTGGGCTTTTTTTCTTTAGAATTTTTGGTGGAAATTAATACAGCTAGTTAGGTTCCATTTGCAAATTTCTATACAAATGGTTTCGTGATATTATTTACTTTTATTATGTCAACATTTTCTTTGTGTTTGTTCCCATTCTTTTAATTTCTCTACCCTATTTTCGTCTTTGATTTTGAACAATTGTTGACCTTTTGGTGTCATTCATACTGTTAATTTTTAAAAGGACACCAGTCTAAGATTAAAGAATTTTGCTTGGTGACAGAAATGAGGCTGGAGATAAAATGATAGAATTTTCATCATTGAAAACACCTTTTATAAGAAACATAAGCAGCATTAAATACATGGATCGCAGCTAATGGTCTGCACAGAAAGCAGATACACCTATGAAAAGAATTGTTGGAGAAATTCAGTATCAACTGATGCTAAGGAAAATTAAATCAAATCTTTAAGAACTGAATTTTGACTTTGAATCTATCCCACCTGAATTCAAAAACCATCTCAGGAACTGATTTGAGGTCTTGAACACTAATGAGCGAAGGCCAGATGAGCTGTGGGAAAACATCACGAGTATTACCCATGAAGAATGCAAAAAAGGCCATTACAAAGACAAAGGAGGAAGAAAGGACAAAGGTGGATACTGGAAGAGACTCTGAATATTGTACTAGAGCACCTAGAAGCCAGAACAAAGGAAAGAAATTAAGCAGGTAAGGGAGATGAACAGAAGATTTCAAAAGGTGGCTCAGAAAGACAAAGCAAAATATTATAATGAAATTTGTAAAGAGGTAGAGTTGAGAAATCAAAAGAGTTGAACTTGCTCAGCATTTTTTTAAACTGAAAGAACTGAAGAAAGCCTCAAGTTGCAATACTTAACGATGCTGTGGGCTGAATATTGAATGTTCCAGGAAACATCAAAGGAAGTCGAAAGAAGTGACCACAGAGTCACTATACCGAAAGAGCTGGCAGATATAGAAGTATTTCATGCAACGACTTATGTTCAAGAGGCAATGGTGATGAGGAAATTCACACTACTCTGAAGGAAATGGAAAAAAAAATAAAGCCCCAGAAATTGAAGGAATAATAATTGACATATTTCAAGGAACAGATGCAGCCCTGGATGTGTTCACCAGATTATTACAAGAAATCTGGAGGAAACTAACTTGCCAAATAACAGGAAGAGATCTACATTTATTCCTTTTACATTAAAGGCGATCCAACAGAGTGTGGAAAATATAAAACAGTATATCATTAATATCACATGCAAGTAAAATCCTGCCGAAGTTTATCTAAAAGCAGCTGGAACAGTACATTGACAGAACTACTAGAAATGCAAGCTGGTTTAGAAGAGGCTGTGAAACTAAGGAAATCATTGTCAATATCAAATGGATCTTGGCCAACAGCAGAGAATACCAGAGGAATGTTTATCTATATCTCATTGACTATCCAAAGGCATTTGACTGAGTGGATCACAACAGAAATAAAAATTTTCTCTTGAGTCTATCTCTCCTGAATTTAGAAACCAACTCAGCAACAGGTTTACCGCCTTGAGCACTAATAAACGAAGACCAGATGAGCTGTGGAGGATATCAAGAATATCATCCACAAAGAATTCAAAAAGTCATTACAAAGGCAGCAGAAGAAGAGTCTGAATATTGCACTAGAGTGCCATGAAGCCAAAGCAAAGGGAAGAAATGAAGAAGTTAAGGAGCTGAATAGAAGATAACAAAGGGCAGCTCAGAAAGATAAACCAAAATATTATAATGAAATATGGAGGATCTGGAGTTGGAAAGTCAAAAGGGCCAAACTTGCTGGGCATTTCTTAAGGTACGGGGACTAAAGAACAAATTTAAAGTACCAGTTAAGAATGCTATCAGCAGAATACAAATGATCTAAGAAGCATTAAAAGAAGATGGAAGGCTTATACAGACAGAGTCAGTGTACCGAAAATAATAGGTTGACACAGAAGAATTTCATGAAACAACATACACTAAAGAGGTTGATGAAGGAGAAAGTTCAGGCTGCTCTGAAGGAGTTGGCAAAAAAATAAAGCCCCAAGAATTGATGGAATACGAAATGACATATTTCAACAAACAGATGCTACCCTGGACATGCTCACCAGGTTGTGCCAAGAAATCTGGAGAACAAGTACCTGGACAACTGACTGGAAGAGATCCATATTTATTTCCATTTAAAAAAAAAAAAGGTAACAGTACACAGCTTTAGTTTGCTTGGCTCCATAGTCAACAGTCTTGGCACCAGCAGCCAGGAAATTAAAAGGCACATTGCCATGGGAAAGTCTGCTGTTAG